GCCTATTTCGACTTAGCCGCCGTAGGTTACACGAGGATTGGAAAGAATTAGCGACAGACTCGCCGATTTGCCGCACATGATTCTCCACATTTTTCTTTAAGATAAAATGGATAACGATAATAAAATCTTATACTGTATGACTGTATGATCATACGAGTACCCGGTAACTTGTTTATATGGTTTAAAATACTTTTTATAACCTGACGTTTCGTTGATAAAAATTACAGGAAACATCGTTCACAGCTTTAGAAGAGTACTAGCGTTCATTTTGAAAAAGAATCTCAAAAAGATCTTAGAAGCTAAAATATATTGGATGACGCAGAATTGTGTAATAGATTAAAGGTGATTAGGAATACTTTGCCTAAGGTTGATTGCTTTATCATTATTGTTAATTGTTTAATTTAGATAGCGATAGGTATAAGCGCTTTAGTAGTAGGAAATCCGCCAATCATAAATTAAGGTTTTAATTGCTAGTAAATACAGTCAATTTTTCTAAATGCAAGTTTAAATTCTGATCTAAATATATGTTTGCCCTTTATAAATGCAATTTTCCTTAATTGTTTCCTAAATGCAAGCTACCAAAAGTCTAGTTCTAACAAATAGCGCTTAGAGAGAATTGATTGTATAATGAATTTAAGTAATTATAATAATGAAACTCACAGGATTCACAAAAAAAGGAAAAAAATTACAAATTGATCAAATCCAACCAAATCGAAAGTATTGAATAAGCGCATTGACATTTTACTTTATCTCTCAGATTCAATTTATTTGCGTTGATTTAGTAGAAACTAAAATATTTTAACAGTTCTATAAGTTGGATTGTAAAATTATAATGTAATAATACTCTTCTGTTTCATAATAGTATGTATAAAATATTACTTTGTTTTCTAGATTGATTCAATACTAAATCTAATTAAAAAGCTTTATAATATACCAATCGTTATCCTACGTTCCTAATTTTAGTGCGACAATGTCTCAAGGCTACCTTATTTATTAATAATAATAATCCGAATAATGGGTTTAAATTTCTTGAAAATAAAGAAAAAAATATAAATACAACCCGAATTCGATAAAAATTTTGGTGCAGAGCAGCGCAGTTCTAGTCTGTACGTATGCTATAGGATATTGAACATGCAATTACGATCATGATTTACAAGTCATAATAATGTACAAAAAATCTATGACCATAACCATAAGAGTTTGCACGATAGTAGGAGTTAAATCGGCACCCAAAATTTTTTCAATTAGTTAAACTACCAATCAGATTTCGAGATCACGTGTAACATGCAAAAAAAATTTTCCACACAGCTCGAAATTTAGTCTACTAAATTACCTTCTGCGCACATTGTAAAATTTTGGCACATACAATGCATTTAAACAATTTAATGTCAAATTACAGATTTTAATCCAACAGTGTGAATTTTTACTTCGAAGAATTTGGGAAGGTGATTTAACCAACAGGAGGAACCGTCGATGTTACACAAAATTGGTAAAACAAACTTGAATCTTTCGTGCTGTATTATAACATATTTTTTTAATCTCTCATAATTCCCCAACTTTCATAATACGTTTTACCTAGCAAAGGTATGTTTAAAATAAGCATTGCGAAGGTCATAAGATCACTAAACTGACTAAATTTCGTCACTAAAAAGGTGAAAAAACAAAAACGTTGAAAGAAATAATTTAACAAGGTAAACACTATTGAAAAGAAAAATAATTTATATAGTTCTTATATATTATAAATATCTTAAAAAAATTCTTTTAAAATAACAATAAACCAACCGACTATTATGTTTTTATATAATTTTTAGATAATAAGTTTATAGTGTAATTACAAATAAATATTCTAATAGAATAACAATTACTGTTAGATATTTATATTAAATATGGCGTTAAATGTGCAAAAGATTAGATATTGAAATAGGTTGTGTTTAACATATAGAAGGTTATATAGAATAGATATAAAATTGAATGTAAATAAATAGATTACTGTTAATGGTAAATAGATTACATAAATTATAAAGACATTTCGTTGGCAGTAATATTTAAGGCATTTAAAATATCTATTTTGAACTTTATATTTAGATTTGAATTAATTTCGCTTTGATTCATTTTTTTTCGCTTCTTTAATATTTGCAATTTGATTGGTAGGTAAACATGTGATATTACATCAACATTCGTGTAACATTGACGGTTCCTCCTGTTGATTTAACCACGACATATATGTTTATTCCCATACTAGCGGCTTTATAATTATCAAACTTATATCTTTTTTGTTAATATATATTCAAAAAAGTACAATACTTAAAAATATTTTATTAAATTTATTTAATTCAATATTTATGTTTATATATATTAATTATATCAAGCATATATGCATTTTAATTACAGTCAACATTCGAGATAACGAATTTTACATAGTAAATATTTTGAAATATCGAAAATTTTTTGCATCATAAATGTGTCTGAGCGTATAAATTACTCTTCTAATATTCGAATATTTCTATATGGCGAATGATAAAGTCAAAACGTAAACTTCACTATATTGAGCTTTAATAAATTAAAGTAACTTGGGAACCGATATTCTATTATATAACTAAAAAAAAAAAAAACAGTTAGTATTGAAATACAGTAGTCAAATATTATATTGCTTATTACGCGAAATTCCAAATCCCGACTAGACACTTCCAAAAAGCCAGTAACAGCGCTAACACTTGCCAAAAGGCCAGTAACTGGATCTACTCACTTGCAAAGGGCCAGTAAAAGCTCAAAAGCCTACTTAGACACCCTTATTCAAGCCAGCGTAAACCAATACATGGGCGCTTAAATTATTTCGGCAATTATCTGACGATCTTAATTTTCCTTAATTTTATAATTGCCGAAATCCTTAAACTCCTGAGTTTATTTCAACAATTATCTGACGATATAACTTTTTTTAATAACTAAACTAATTCTATAATTGTTGAAATCATCCAAGCTTCCGTAAGTTCTTTCTCCAGTTAAATTGAATATTATTGTTGAATATTTTCGTTGAATATTGCTGTTAGAATCATTATATTTTGGCAATTATCTGACGGTATTGATTCTTTTTAACAATGAAATCTTATAATTGCCAAAATTATCCAAGTTTGCTGAAAAACACCCATGTATAGATAGAGCTGCTAATAGCGTTACTTAGTTAAACACCCTTATCAAGCTGTGATACTAATGGCCGACTCGACACTTTCTGGAAGCCAGTACAGACAGACAGAAATCCTCGTAATAAGCCAAGGTTGTTTACTTTAGATAAGACATACCAGTACAAAGTGATAAATCACAAGTGCCTCGGTACAGATCTATAAAGGAAAGAAAGTATATAACTGATTCCTCTTCGAACCAGTAGACTTTAATAGATGTCTTAACCTAAAGTAAACAACCTTCTGTTTCTAAAATCGTTCACAAATATAATACTGACCTGCTGGTGTGATTAAAGGTTGCTTTTTCTTGAAATAAATAATCGATTTCATAACTCGTATAAAAAAACGTATATCTTAACTAAATTATTTACGCAAAAAAAAAAGCTTTTAAATTTAGTTTATTTATGTGTAGAAAAACAAAACAATTGCGTCATTTATTTTTCAGAATCACAATCCTAAAAAGGAAATTCTGTACATAGATCTCAAATCGTAATTGGCTATCAATGTTCTGAGTCGATTCCAAATTGATCTAGGTCATTCTTGAATTTTGAAACGACCTAGGTCATTTCTCAATCGATGAATTTTTAAAAATTTAAAATTATATGCCCAAGCGATAAATTATATAGCCCAAGCAATAATATTAATTATATTATTAAAGATCTTTTATTTATAATAAAATTTAGCTATATTAGCAAAAATGCTTTAATGTTTCAATAAAAAAATAAAAAATTGTATAAAAAAAAATGCACAATACAAATAAATAATAAAAATCCACATAATTAATAAAAAATGCGCAATAAAAATAAATAAATAAATATATGTTAACACATAAAAAGTTTTCAACAGGACAAACTTGCGTCACTAGATTGTTTAATCGCAACCCGAAAATGTGTACCAGGTTGTGCTCTGGATGATCATGTGATAGTCCGGAATGATAGTCCGGAATGAATGTCCAAAAAATTTTTGAAGTTTGCGCAGTTAATTACATATATTTTTTTTTAATAATAATTTATGCACTTTACGCAAATTTACAATACATTGTACGTATACATTTATGAAAATTTAAATGCTTTTACATTATTATTAATTTTGTTTGTTTTCACTAATGTTTTTTGATAAATTATGTATTTTTTTGGAAGTTTTTCTTTTTTTGCGTGCTTTCATTATTGTCGGGTCAATATTTTCTTGAGAAATCTTGCGCTTTCTTCGTTGTACTGATGCTGGTTGCACTCGAATTTTTGCACCACTTCGCAATGATTCAGCTTTTACGGTAGAATTTCGTTGATAAAGATAAGAAGTCAGTTTACCCAATGATAAAGATTCAGCTTTTTCATATTCTTTCTTAAAATTTTCAATGCCAGCAAGTAATTGACCATTTTGTTTTATATCATTAATAATACGCTGAAAAAAATTTTCAACTTCTGCAATACGAGTACTCTTATCCTCACTGTTATTAGAATCACTTTATATGTAATAAAAAAAAAAATTAGCAAATTACATATACATTATCACAATTACAAATTATATACATACCAAGTAATATCATTTACAGTAGATATATCGATATTTGAATCTTGATGATTTATATCTGCACCAGCATTAGTGTTTTCATTATGCATATTCATTTTATTATTTTCGAATATAGCAAGTGCTCGTAAAGATGCATAGAATGAGAAATCTTGTGCAACCATACTTTATAAATATTTACAGTTAGATGTAACAATAGCGATAATAATAAAAAATATTATTATTATTAATATTTATACTTACCACATGCGATATAATGATAGTCCATACAGTCATTAATCGATAAAGCTGAAATAAAATTAAATGATCGTTCATGATATTTAATGGCAACGGCGGCCTGATGTTTACAAGGTGACCCTCCAAGAGTGGCCAAGCATGTACAAGTACCAATAGAAAGATCAACAGTATAAAATTTGCCAAGAGTTGTTACACTTGGCACATTATATATATTATTAGTGGCATCGTAATGAATGCCTTCCTGGTTTACAGTGTTATAGGTGAAAGCCTTATTAATTTTCACACTATAACGACGACACGGCACAGGGAATCCCTTACGGGTATATGCGGTGTCCAAGAGGGAAGTATA